TATATATGTAGCGTTACGGTAGCTTCGTACCAAGATTTCTCATTTAAATTACAGTTAACACGGAAAATAGGTAACAGGCGGTTCTCTTATCTACTCGTGTTCCACAACGATGCTGTACAATGAAGCTGCAGACAAATAACTAGATTACTGCGTCGCTTATATATATAATACAAGGAAATAGGGCCGAAACTGAATTCTGTTATGATGACAAAAGAAGTGGGCTTTTTTCGTAGCTAGCATTCAGTTTACCTCTTTAGCCCATGTTCTCTTTTAGTATCTAAAGTCTCTGCAAACAGGAATTTTATTTTGATGAATGAACATTTTGGATGCGTGTTGATTATAAAAAGGTTGACTCCAGTAGCAATGTTAAAATTAGTAATAAGGTCCGTCAAGGGCAAATCGTGCGCGAAGATTCTACCAGAAATACAACAGCCACATCGAAGTGACGGGTGAACATTTTACAATGTGTTTGCCAAGCATTTTTACTTAAGCCTATTTGTTTATGTAGCTCCACGTGCCAACAGAAGCATATACATTGTGCTGTAAAATCGAGCTTAAAAAGTTCATCACACTCTAGTTTTAAGTGTCTCTCTATGTGTGCCGTCTATGCGTGTGTAAAATTGGAGGCTATTTTAATCGGCCAGGATAGGACAGTGCATGCTCTCTTACGTGCCCAATGCACGGATTTCAACTATAAGTTCGTCACCCTGACTGATGGCCGTTTTCGCCTTGAACAGGTGTCCATGATGCATCAGTCAACCGAGCCCATGATGGCTTAGGTCGCTCGTCACAGCTTTTTACGGATACTCCGACCGGAATCCTTTATACACATCATGGACTACTAGGCGATGTTGTAGTCAATGGTGACATACATAGACTTTTGCCCACTAAGGAAACGTTTCTTTTCATGGGGGCAAAAATAGTGGAAAAAGAGTTATCTAAGGACCTTTCAGTTGTGCTTCCTCAATTCTTGCCTACCGGGTTACTCTGATGGTCGACGCTGTTATCGTCCATGGCCGTAGTCAATTCTGACAAGGTAATTCCAAGTGTTTCGCTTGGGCCGTGAATGTACGATGTTACTGTAGACCCATGTCGCAGACATTTTTCATTTTCTTGCCCAAGCCTCACGTAACAGCCATACCCGCCCCTTAGCCTCGCGTTCCCTACACGAAAGTCAAGTTACTTCTTCCAGAGTCTTGCCAGAGTAGTAGAGGTCGTGGGTGGTAATAGTAGCAATAGAAATAGTATAACTCGTACGACATAGCAGTTTAGTCATCATGTCTATCATTAATTGTGCTTACGTTCCTTTTGCGAAAGGCGCTAATCAGAAGCAACGCTCTTTTATTGGCGCACACAGTTAAGGGAGGTTGCTCTTCTTTGACCTCATCGATACTGCTCGTATTGAAGCGCAAAGCGGTGACAGAAAAGCAGCTACTTAGACCAGAGGCGAAATACGCAGAGTTACCGCTCGCTAAATCAACAGAGTACGCAGCACTTTACACACTTTCTATTTTGCCTGTATAGCTGTAGCTCCTTGTACCGCAGCCCGAACTGAAGGCAGACAGACGACTTCCGCCATTGGAAAACCACTCCTTCACTAGCCTGGCCTCTTCGACCATAACAAACGAACCACAACGCACCTGGTCGAACAGCTGCTTACCTAGTTAACCGGAGGATCAGAAACCGATCTGTATAGCTTTGCGAACGCAGTCTAATATAAGGCTACATCCTGAAAAGATACGACACAGTCTAGACACCTGAAATATCGCTATGGACAGAAAAAATGGGTAAATCGTAGCTATCGTGATAACAGGATTCAAAACTATCCTGCCAACATATTCAACGCTGATTCTTTCGGTGCGGAATAGTCTATTTACGCTCTCCAGCAATCAAGGAGATATGATCAATACTAAATTTGTGATACTAAGCGAAATCGGTTGACAGGTAGTGTTAAACGTTTTCTGTAGTTATCTCGATTCCCTTTCATCCCGCCTTCTTATTGGTAATTTTACAACTTTCCATCGTCTTATGATTATGCAACAGAAGGATATGTCATGTTCGCCTCGAGCAAAATCCGCCACCTGCAAGGCAGACGACAACAAATTAAGCTAAAACAATGATCTAATTTGATCTACAGTAAATAATGAGAACGCAAAAGATGTCGGCTAGTTTTGGTCAACTTTGTATAATAATAGACGGACTCAATTTTACTAGCTATTGTTGTCTTCATTGAAGACGAGCGCCCCGGCCCTGAAAAAATGGCACGTGTCTTTTAGGGGGAGGGGACAGGCTAATTCCAAATATTAGAATGTTTACCGGGACAGTTATAAAACGCTATAGGGCAAATCGTCAACTGGCACATTCAGATTCATGATCTAAGTTACTTAATGTATGGTAGCATTTTTGGCGTTTCCTGTTTGTCACTTGAAAACAACTTTCAGACATGGCTGACAGAAGTGACCGTTACTAGTCTTTGAAATTAGATGAGCTTCAGCTGAGACATCTGAGAACGCTGTCGCCTTTGTCTTCGTGCGCGTGCTATACAAGGCATAACTTACTAGTTTTAGGGCAGCAGTTAGTTGTTGAGGCTAGACCTTTTTGAGTCATCGTTCGCGTTACGAAATCATACCATTTACGAAATGTGCTATGCTATATATGTATGTATGTAACGGTTATGTAGATATCTGTTCCATGGCATGACGTATTTAGTGGTAGCGGCGCTTCAGTACACAGCAAATTGCCGTGATAACGTTCGTGAAGACATTAGTTCTTTTCGTAAGAATTTTTATCCATCAAATCTACGGGTAAGAGTGGGGTTGCTTACTAGCCGGAACGTAACATCGAATCCAAATATTGGAAAGAAGCACCGAGATTACAGGCATTGAAAGGAGCTAAAAAGGTCAAGAGGACCGGGAAGCCAGAATGTTTCCCTGGCTAGAACTTCTGCGCTTCGCCGCTAACAAACTGATGTGGCCTCGAGGCCGGTCGTGCATGCTGGTGGCTCTGCATGAGCCTGCTCCACGTGGCGAATGGGCGAAGGACCAAACTCTAAATAATTCCTTCATTCCTTAACCTGGCAAATAACAATTCAGGTAAGCTCCGTTTTGCCTTGGAGCTGATTCACCGACTCTATACAGACACAGAATTCGTTCGCTCGTTTCTCGTTCGCTCTTTTACCTAAATTACTCCCGTCCCTGTTGATTGTCAAGCGACTGGTAAGTCCCTCTCGAGTAGTGTGTGCTTTTTTCTCATCTATTCCCTCTTAGCACCTCAGGGCGATGGGGGTAATTTGTCCGAAGCTGCTGAGCCAAACGTGCAACAACACACACGCCTTGCAATCATGTATCAATGAAAATGTGCAGTAACGTGTAAAATAGTTTGATGAATGTGTGAGCTTATTTCTAGTGGGGGGTTTCAGTAAAGTACCATTAATAATAGTAAGTAGAAGCCATTTTACCTGCTTAAACGACTCACAAGGCCTTTTCTCATTCTATGTGCGTCCGTGCGTTCCGGTAGTTCGCTAATACAAAACCACTAGCTGTTCTATTGTATATAAGGCGATGTCGACACTTCCAAATTAAATGCAATATATAAAACCAGAACGAGTCCTTAACGTCACTATCGACGATGCTCAACTACACTAGGGCAACCTTAGGATAAGGAATCAGAATGAGGCAAAGTTAGAGGGAAACGTAATTTTAGACACTTCGTATTGAGTAAAAGGGTAAGAAATCGGAATTAACCAGCGACGAAGATCAGAAGACGCGCCAATGGACCGGTGGATTATGGTTGGGTGCCAGATACGACTAGAGGGCAATTAATTTGCTTTGTTTAGACTATGAGCCTATCATCAGATCGACAAGAAGGTCAGCTTTCGCCTACTTCCATAAGTGCGCTAACGGTGAGAGCAAGGGTGTTTACTTCTCCGATCAATGATAATTAGGTGGCTATGAAAACCTAAACTTCACGTAATATTTTCGTACTCGATCACGATTCTATTAAGTTGGTTTTATCATACATCGAACGTTAAGGAGCATTGCAATTTCACTATAGTGAACCGGTCTTGCTTTTATTTTCTCTATTCATCGTTCTGAACGAGTAGCAAAAATGAATGCAAACAAAGGCTGTAACAAACTCAGCTTGACAAATTCGCTAAAATACTAATTTGAGACATCTCTAGATAGTGTGGTAATAGCTTTTCGGTAGCGTTTACCGTTTTGTAAGCTTTAACGGCTATAACATACCCTTCTTGTTCCGCCTGCTCCGTACCGCTCTCTAGTGACTATTGCTTAGGTAGGTGAGCAAGCGTCTAGATTGATTCGTTGGGAGCTACCCGCTCGTCGTGTGCCTGTGTCAATGCGACGCAGTTCATTTATATAGGATACGTAAAAAAAAAGCTACTGTTACGCTTGTACAGGCACCGACTGCTGTCGGGCTACGATGTTTGTCCTGCAGTAATGGCCGCGCTGCTATCATCCGGCACTGTTCCATAGGAGTTGCTTCACCATGGCCTTTGCCTATCGGCACCAATGAACTTAGCAGCAGTAATGGCCGCAAAACAACGGTGCCCGACCTCTTCGCTTCGTACCCTTACGCGGCTCGACCCCGTTGCTGTTGCCATTGCCATGACGGCTCCGTGTTTCTCTGAGAAGAAACTTGAAGATGAAAATACGCCTGAAGGCTTGCCAACGGCAGTAACGAAAACTCGTTTTGCATACCGTAATCGGTTCGCTCGTGTGCGCGAGCTGCCAACGAGCAAAGCGCAGCAGCAGCGGTAGTAGAATTTGTGTCAGAGCACCGTTGACAACATGACACAGGACACGGTGTTCAGCAGTTGCCAGTGGCTGCCTAGTAGTCGGTATCCTGTAATAGCTATGTTGAATCGACGACGACAATGGCCTCACCTGTACTTTCTTCCCGTTGATCTCATCGCTATTCTATCGGTACTTGTTTTGTATGAGCTGTCAGCCACCGCTTCGATTCTCGATAAACTAGCTCAGCGTACTCCGATCCAAAACTATCATCCTATTTACCTGTGCCACACAGGTAGTTATGAGCACACATGAGCGTGATCTTTCAAATCGTTTATTTCTATTTAAATATAGCTGAGAAGGAAAAGATTGACATATTTTGTAGTACGCGTCTATAACTAGAAGTCCCAAATGGAAATAATCGAGCCAAGTTAATTTCATTTTTGTGGAACTTAAATCCCGAACAGCAGAGCTTCGTTTTGGGCCCAGCTACTTTTCACAGAATTCGTTTCGACACGCGGCAATGAGAAGCTAAACTAAGTAAGGCAACCATTGCATCCAGCGCACTCCTGCTGCTTTTAACACCGAGCATAAGCGGGCTGATACAACCCATTTTCTGTCACAAAATTTTTACAGACAGGAATCTCACCATTTCCGCAACAGACGCTCGGACTGTACCATGCAAAGTAGCCCCTTTATTGTCATACTTCATGACTCTCGTTCTCGCCCCACCCTTTGCTGCAGTCGTAATATTATTATACAATCATTCAACAGCAGTAAGAGCTCAACAGTGCAGCCAAGCTCTCGTAAATGGATAGGGCGGCTTTTAGCAACGTTAGCGTGGTCCTTCGTGATCAACGACATTGAGGTGACAGCCTGTTGTTTTCAAAGAGACGTGCGCATCGGCGCCGCCGTTACGTTTGTCATATATAGCTTGTACGAACTACTGGCAGATCTTTTTCTTCAATGTCGCAACAGCAGAAGTGGCGAAAGCAGTCCCATCAGCGAAGCAGATGACGTGGTCGAAAGCTCTCATCTTATTGTCAGTTGTAATCCCGTTTTCAGTTTCTGTTAACATCTAGACCCCGCGTGAAGACCGTACAGCGCCGATGTGAACTAAAGCCAGCTTTTTTTTGGACCGTTCTTCTAAAAGTGTGAACGAGAACGCATACGAAAACGCTCATATTTACATAGTACGTACATTCATACACGTGTTCCTGCATACGTGCGTACGATGCGCAAGCATGTACAAGCAGAAAGACAAAAGCGCAAGCAGACAGACACGTAGTTCTAAGTTGGCTCGTATTGTGCTATTGACTTGATATATCCTATACTATTGTCGCTAGCGCGGTAGCGCTATTGCCATTGGCTGTTCCATTCTCGGATCGGGAAGCTTTTGGACAGCTACTCAATGATACCCTTGTATCTTAGATGAGTCGAGGTATAGCTAAGTCTGTGAGCCCCCCCTTTCCCGAAGGTACTATATATATGGTACTTACGATCTACAAGCGCTGCAAATGACGGCCAACAGACCATATGATGATCCTGGCCGTAATGGCGCCCATATTATATACGTACGATAATGGGACACTGATAATAACAATGATGATCATGCACGTATGAGTAAATCAGTAATAGCAAGACACGTTGGCGGCCAGTTCGAGTGCTCCTGGCTGTTAGCGCTCTACGTATACGAATGCTTTGTACATTGATATTCAATATCTATCTATATGGGTGATGTTGGGATATACAGCACCGTATGAATGAGAGAAAAAATAAGGGATAAATAGATGCCTTGCTTTATACTATTAAATGGCCTAAGTAGTTCTTTAGTCCACCCCAATAGCTGTGCTCAACACAATAAAGCAAATGCAGCTGTGTCCGTATCACTGTCGTATGGTATCCTTAACTCACGGCACCGGTATATATATATATATATATATATATATAGAAGCCTAAAATTAAATTTGGCTTTTTAAATTGCCAAACCACCTGTTTGCTGGGGAAGAACGGCAAAGTCCGTTAAGGCTTATAAGCTCGTCGTGAGGCCAATACCCGCCAACAGATTGGGTTAATTACTACCCAACTGATTTTAAATGCGTATCGCTATTGACGTGTGGTTTAACATAAGGGTCTCAAACCGATACATAAGTACTAGTAGCTAGTAGAAATAATCAGTAGAGGCAACATTTTTATCTACAATGCTTTATGAGTTAGTATAAGAGAGAGATGCACTTAAAGACCATTAATGATATAAGACACAAAAGTAAACTTGATGTTCTACTATGATCTTGACTCGCAGCAATCATTGTGATTATAAATTATTGAGCATTGGCTGTATACATCGATGACGCACTGCTATTTCGTCTATTGCAGAATTACTTAACTGACGGCATTGGTCGGCTGCTACGTATCCTTCATTACCAAGTTCCTGGAAACCTACCCCACGCCCCCAGCGCCTAGTGCTGGCAGATTCATAGCTGTCTGTCCCATCAGCCTGCGCCAAGTACTCAGGACTGATTAAGCGAGCGATAAAGATGGATTAACGGGTGAAGGATGTTAGTCAGATGGAAGGTCTAGGGCAGAGTAGCAAAAAGGCAGCGGGTGAGCGGACGGATATATGGATATACCTGTCTTTTCGTCGAACGGTGTGTTGAAACGCTATTTGCGGGGAATGTTGCAAAGACGTCGCTCGGAGCGTGCCTTGTTCTCTCTCTCTCTCTCTCTCTCTCTCTCTCTCCCTCTTGGTTGTCCTTGGTGGAAACGGTGGCGTAGGCGTAGGCCGAGAAACCGGGTGCTTAGCTAGCCATATAAGGAGACACCCTGTTCTCGTTTGGCCCCACTCGACTATAAGAAGTAACGGAGACGAGAAACATTTAGGTATTCTGCCGGCGATATCGTTTTTGTTGTGGTCGCTGCTATTGCTGAAGCTGCGATTGTTGTTGTTGGCGTTGGCTGTTACTGTTTTTTTCGTCGTTGTCGGCTGCGCTAGAGTCTAATTGAAGGTGGAGATGGTGGATGTCGCCTCCGTTGCTTTAGCCAGGCGCTTTCGGCCCGAAGGTGTTGTGCTGATGGTTCACGCAGAGGGGGAACGCGGGATGCAACAGTGGGTGGGTGAATGAGCTGCGGCTCTCGCAAGTCCTCGCTTCCCTGAGCGGACTCCACCCTCTGAGGTTATTCCCCACAGTCCGTTTGCCGCGCAGATGGGGTTCTGCCCCATAGCCCTACTTCGAACTTGTGAGACCTTCGAACAGCACCCGAGACCCGATATAGCCGCCCGATATAATGCGCATAACAGGGTGGTTGTTTCCTCGCATTTTAGCACTCAAGTCCAGAACGAGCCGAGGCTAAGTCGGGCCAAACAGCTTATTTTCACTACCTCACACATGATTTCGGTCATATGTGTAGATTCAATTATACCGTCGATCTGAGGACTATAATAGTAGTTGATTCATACGCTGTCACCATAGAGCCTTCTCAGCTACCGGTTGCGCAAGTTTATATTTAATACGTAATTATTCAGTTAACTTGCCATTTACAAACTTCGTTAACCCCTCCCCCTACGCCTAAATGAACAGAAGCAACGACGGAACAAATCTGTAGAGGTTGTTGTCCTGAACTTGTTTGTGTTTCACTAAAAGGATTTCAATGATATGGAGTACCCGTGAATCGGACGGACTCGATTTCAATTAGAACTTTTTGTTCGATCTCTTACCAGACAATATCTACGTGGTTGAATCATGCGTTGAATTTCACGTTAAAAAAAACTTAGTGAACCAAATGAAATGTATACTTTAGGAACGTTTTCTGCTTACAAATAAGCTGCCCGAGACTACGAATTGAGACTTGTCCTGTGTGGCCGAAGACGGAAGCATACATTATTTAGTCTACCGCTAGTCGAAGAGGCAAGCAAATCTATCATCGGCTTTGATTGCAAGCCTAGAGAAGTGGAATGCATAGGTTGGCAACAGTGTCCAGGCAGAATGCGCGGATTCCAAGGGGGGCAGAAGCTAGCGTTGATGAATCTAGCCACGAAGCGTGGAGCTATCAAAGCTTCGTGATTGAAGAGAGCGCGTGGTAACCAAATGGAGGCGGGCTATGGGATGTGGTCAAAGGACAATAGCAGGTACTCCCGGTTTGTGCGTTACTGCACTCCCTGTCGTTCCTTTTCCTCCCGCTTTTATCTTTGTTGTATGCTACAGTGGTTATCATCCTGGCTGAAGCTGTCACGAGGATGCGGTAGGCTTAAGTCTGACCACCTGCGTATAGGAGTGAAATACCAAGTTGACGAGAACCTAGCTGGGTGGGAGTACAGAGTATATATCTCATTTATATTAGTTAGTATATCGAACAGGCTAGCTTCCATCCGACTTTCTCTCTGTCGTTTTTACCTTACGATGTAGGACACGAAAGCACCACCTTGTCCAACCCCGAGTCCGCTTCTGTCCCGTTATTGCCTGCCCTTTTACCTCGTAAATACTCCACACAACACCACTTTTACTGTTAAGGGTCCGTCATCTGTTGCCGTCACCGCCGACGCTATCGCCTATGGACATAAAAGCTGTTAACTGGTTTGTCCGTTCCTTAGCTGGGGGCGAAGATAGCAAAGGACTGAAGGCAGATCGTCTAAATCAGCCAAAGGACGAAGCGGCCACTCAGTTTCAACCAAAATGTCTGCAACCGAGATGGCTAACGCCGTTCGCGCTTCCATCCAGCAGTATTAGCTAGGTCATCGATATTAATTAAATCAAAATACATTTCTAGAAGCGTATACTGTTATAGCGTGTATATATAAATACTGTGGAAATCTATACATAAGAAAAACAAATACAGTGTTATAAGAGTAGAGCAAACAACAATTAAAAACAACGGTAACTCATCTAATAGCACCGTAGCCAGAACGGATCTCTAATAACCGTCACAGCCGTAGAACGTTTGTTCAATTAACGTTTAGTTTAGTACCTAGATTTATTGCTTATCCGCCGCAGCGTATTATACGTTTGTTTCTTTTTGAAAGCCAAACTTTTAGTTGGCCTTTAAAAATGTTCCCCAGAGGTAGACACACGATTCTCGTTTTATAGGCGTTCGATAGTAACTTAAGTCCACGCATCGATGGGCAATGCTGCGATTGATAATCCTTAAATTCTCGTAGTCGATAGCAGCTGAACACCAGAAGCATTTCTTAGAAATATCTGTGATTTTTCTTTTAATAGGAAAATTCTAAATAATTATAGCTGTTTGTTGTTAGATACTGCCAGGTACATTTTAACAAGCAGTACTGTTAGGTACTTATAGGTGTTACGATGCCTGGATGTGAACGAAAGTATAATATGCTCTCTGGCACCGAATAACCTAATTAAAGAGCTCCTTATAAATTCCGTTAATCAGCTTCAGAATGAGCTTCCGCACGATTCATATACAATGTACGATGATAAGTGTATAATTGTACATAGTAACTGATGGGGCTAATTTGTAATGGATAATAAATATAGAGATACAAGCATCTTTATATCGTATGTTCACATCCCATATATTGCCTTACAGCGATCTTCTGCAAATAGAACTGCGGAAACAGTGTACTTAAATAGAATCTCATTAATACTTAGACATATGCATGCATAGGTGCGTGTACAACTAGAACTCATCCGCCTTTAAAGAGGGCACCACATAGGGAAGCCGAAGTGCAAATAGACAAAAAGAGCGTCCATAATTCTAATCTAAAAAAAATAGCAAATAAAACGAACAGGACCATTCCGCGGGTCCTATGGTGTTTAAGGCTGCCGGTAGTTGTCAATAATCTCAAAAGAGTAGCACTGACGGTGTCTGGGCTGGTGGGAGTTAGACGAAGAGGGAAGGACGAGAGGGCAAGCTGGAAATCCATTGTTCCTTGCGCTTCTACAGTTGCTGGCTAAGGACTATCGTTTATGAGCTATGACTTAGCAAGTTTCCTTTGCTACTCTGCCCATGGCCATTTGATGACAAAACTTTATATTCCTCTCGCACGGTAGCACTCCATGGAGAACGCGATAGAATGGGCAATGGTCGCGGCGGTACAGATCGCGGTAGGAACCGAAGCTTCTGTAAACCTACGCTTCACGAATACGATATTTAACAAGCTCTTAAAATCCTACACCAACTCTGTCAAGTCCCGTTCCTGTCACCTGAAGCAAAACGACGACTCTGTTTAAAATGTGTGGCAATATCCCTCCACTCGATGTGTATTAGTCTAGAATGAAGAAACACGTGGCAGACACGATGGACACGAGCGGCAATAGTGCGCAACATGACGAAAAAAATAGAACTGAAAACTGAAGACTTTTCCTCCACCTCTCAAGTATTACATAGAAATGACTATTACAGCCGAATACGAACCTACAAGGGCGCGATGAATAAGTTGTGCACTGCAGACCTCAATGTCTTTGATGAACGATGCAACGTATATTTTGGAAACATAGTAAGCTTTAAGACATTGCTGCCAACGATACAATGAACTATTCAATTAGAAATGTTTTTGATTGGAAAGTCCTTCTTCCCTTCGACACCCTATAGTGGGAGTCGCCATTTTGCCGTCATTCGCAGTTCCATCCCTACGCGAGCCTTATTTCCTATTTTTGTAGGTAGGTTCCGCGTGCCCAATGAAAACTACAAAGCGCCATCGCTGCCTAGACCACTACTGCTACAGCTGCTGATTTTCGATGTCAACGACGATGTCAATGTTGTGGTAACGGTTGGTAGCCGGAGACCTTTGGCTGATGCTACGTGAGCCTCAAACAGCAGCTGCTTGGCCTTAACGTTCATCGTTTGCCTATTAGGATTGGATTTCTTCTGCTAGCAGTTGTTGTTCACCATAATTATATAGCTTTGTCGTAAACTTTTTTCGTTATTATTTTCTTAAATCTGAAAATAATCATACTCTACTGTTTGTAACGTATACTGATAGCCATTCGTTCTAGGAGAGAAATTTACGTTTCGTCGAGCAAAGAAATGCACATGTATAACGTAGTGTTTTCAATCTCTGCCGGCATGCCATTGACGGCAATAGATACTGAGGTAAATGCGCTCGTATGCCGGTTAACGGCGAACAGCAGCGTGACTCAATTCGACATAAGGCGAGGGCTCGGAAGGCTGCTGCGGGCGAGGCAGCCATCTTGGCTGTTACGGTTGCCGCTGACGCGCTTCCTGTACAACATAGCGTAGTAGCGTACAACTAGAGCTACGCTCATTGATGATGTCACAACAGCGTGTTCTTGCAGCGAGTATCAAGCGTGCCAGCCGATATCGGTAGCTGTGACCGTTTGGTACATTTGGTTGAGGGTCAGATCGTTTGTCGGCCGAATGGTGAAGATGGAGGCGTGGTAAAAAGTCCCGAAGTAATTGGTTTGTCGTCGTCTCCGTAAGCATCGTTTCTATGTTGTTGTTAATACCGTTGCTGTTGGTGCAGTCAGTGGATCGACTGACGGCATTTATCAATGGCCAGCTAGAGGAATCTACGCCTCGTTGGAGTTGTGCCAAATTTCGGAGGAAGAAACCGGAGAGAGGGGCAGATATCACCGTACCGGTAGCACTCGTACTAATCAGTCGACCAATAGGACGAGCAAAAAAAAGGTCGAACTGGGAAGAGACAGCTCCCCTTAGAATGTCTCTCTTTAACGAATACAACGGCCCAGTGCGTGGCCAAACTTTCTACCGGCGGAAAGACGAAAAATTTACGCGATTGTGAGACAGGGGAGACGGCGCGACCTACGCATGTACCAGGGTACAGGCGTATTACTTGCGATGACCTCCATTTCTGCCTCAACTTGGCTAGCAGCTATGTATTTGTGAGCAATATCTCAATAAAGGCGGAGCAGTGAGTGAGAAGCAGTGGAAAAGAATGAGTACGCAGTGCTGCTTTTCAGACTGAATCACAACAAGTCTCCTCCAGCGATGCTTGATACTTGAGAAATGAATCATGGAAAACGAAATTGGATTGAAATGTATAAATACCAAAAAATTGCTGCATTTTCCTACGGCTTAGAACAGACAGGTCGAATGTTTTGATTGGCCTCCAAAGATTATCGGTATTCCTAACGGGGAAGGCTACGCTGTGGACTTGAAGCTCAACAGAACACTGTATGTATATATACGTAACTATGCATATGTAGACGGACTTAATGAAGTTCGTCAGTAGCAGTTCAGCGTATTTCAACAGAAGCCTTTTCCTCTGGAAGAAGAAACTGCTACCGCTGCTGCACAACAGAAATTTCAAGCTGGGCGCTCAACCTGTACGGCCCTACTTGGTCCTATCCGGTCACCAATAGATCAATACATACACAATTCTCCCAATTTTGTGTGGGTCAACTTCACCAGTCCAGTGCGCACGAACTTTATGCGGTGCCTCCTTTTTTTTGCCCATCTCAGCGCCGACGTCTTAATCGGTTTGACCGAACGTCAATACAATTGTACGTCCATCTATCACCTTTAACGTCTTCAACATCTTGTCTCCTCGAAGGGCCACAATTAGAGCTTCGTGCTTGGTGTATCCGACCCACAGGGTGCCATTGAAACAAGCTTACAGGGCCCGTTATTTCCACTTGTTGCGCATCAGCAAATGTGTCTAATATCTCGCTTTTACGCTATTTCCAATAGAAACTTAACGAAGTAGCAGTCCGATATTACTACATGTAATATATAGATATTACACAGCCGTTAATAGGCTACAAGAGAACAAGGGATGAAAAACCTGAAACGTAAGACATCGACCTTTAGCCTTTACGCTACCAGGCAGCTTAAGTTTCTGTGTAGTGCCGTGAACGGTACCCTTCTCAACCTAGATACTTTCTTACCTTGACTTGTGGCCTGGATGCAAAAATAGCTTGCGGCGTTCATAACTAATAGTATGTTACGCACAACCATAATTAATGGCCACACTTGGCAACAGAATACGAGAACGATCTCGAGGTAAAGGCAAAGGACGTTGTGGGAAAATAGAGCCAGGGTGCTGTACATCTCATATTAAGCGCTCCCTAATGACGCTAACAATGGGATCTATTTACGGCTACAAGAGTATCATCGATCTGGTCAGCAATTATCAATTATATCGTGTTGTAGGAGACTTTCCCGATTATTCGTATTCGCGTGCTGGTATTATCCCTATATAAATTAACTGTACTAGCTGTATACAGATTTACTCGAAACGTTTTAACTTCAATATCGAAGATAGGACGTGATACGTGAGCGGCAACAAGGGCCAGTCTCTACGACATTCATCTGCATCGAGCTCTTAAGAGATGCGTTTACTTACTAGTCTCTATCGATCAAAGAGGACGCCACATCAGAATCAAAGTGACCCAGACTGCTATGCATCATCAGTCAGTAGCACCAGAAGGAAATTTTTTTTAATCAAGAGATTGATTTATAATGCTGAATCACCAGCAATGGGGAGCCTATATAAAGCTATATAGGTATAGACTTCGGAGGATCTCGCTGTTCGTCGAACGTACGTATTTCCTAGGATAAATCTGCCCTGTGTAACATATTCTGCTACTGCTGACACCAGCAGCCACTTGTGGCTTGGGCCACGGGCCAGCGGCCTAAAACGAGGACAGCGGTGGTAGAGGTGGCTGTCCTGGCACAAATTCTGAGTTGCGCAACGGAACAACCCAATTTTCCTTTTTGGACTTTGGTCGACAGAAGAAGGTAGGCCAGGTCGGCTGAAATAGAAAATAAGTCGCTGAATGTACTATTTGTACCAAGATCATTAAATCTTTTTAGACAAGTGACTGAATTTCCATGAACGTTGACCATTGCGTATCCTTATTGGAGACAGTTGCACGAACGGACCTATTGAAAGCAGAAATAATATTAGCAGTGGGTATACACACACACACACACACACGCATCATACATAAGGAGAGGCGGCCAAAGAAAACAACAAAGCTATTGGTCTATCTATTCAATCATACGGATAAAACGAGGTGGAAAACTGCATGACATCTCCCCCGAAATACACGTAGTTGGTTCATTAGCCATAGAAAAGTAGTACGGCAAGTAAGAGATCAATAAAATACGTCCGACAGCAGAGTTTTTTGTTTACCCAAAACAAAGTAAACCTCAAAGATTCTGCCGTTTGCTCTATAGCATACACGAAAAGGTTAATCCAAGCATACGGACTGCATGTTTGTGGAAATAGTAGTGTTTTTCTTGCGAATGTCATCGATGCAAACCAACCCGTATTGACGATATTATGTCTTGTGATAGCTGAGTGCGCGATAGTCAGGTATTACTTACGGCAGCTTGTTCTTCATCTGCCGATTTCTACGGAAGCTGTTTCCTCACCAGCTATCACCAACATCCTGATAGCCTCATCACGAGTCGCCGTTTCCGTGTAAATACTGGCTAACACCCAGCCTTTCTCTCTCTTCAGCAACGTCCTCATTGATTTCTACTGTATATCAACCCAGACGTCTTGTTGAAGATCTCGTTGCATTACGATCTACTTATTGCTCATCAGTCCAATAGCTAAACGAGCGCTTTTCCTCTTTACATATATCCGTAAATCGATTGCTCATTAGTACAGCACGGACACGCGCAGATAGAACAGAATATAATCGAGCTTTGTGCAAATTAATAACATTACTGTTTTCTATTGAAACGGTTTTGCTAAACCTCTTATTGACATATGAGCCAGCCAGTGGCAACATGGTCGCACAAAACTCCTATCATCCAGTGTTTTCTGATTTCCATGAAACTGTGTGGCTAGGAACAAAAAAGGACACCTTTAGCGTCGCAGGGCCGCGTCATGGTACGGGATGATGACTGATCAACGTTGGTGGATCTTTATTAAGCACCTGCAGCTTAAAATAGCACTCAAATGGCCGAATGACCTACCACAATTTGGAGACGGCCACTAGCCAAAACCGCGAGTCCTACCCCTCAGTGATCAGGTGGATTTTTGGTAAAATGCGGTTGCTACCGTTGCCTGCATCACACAGCCGCCGTCTTTAACATTTCCTCTGAGTGTCAGCGTTGTCTAACAGCGACGAAGACCATGCCCTACAAATTTTAATATCAGTTTTCATCAAGTTCTTGGTGCAAACAAATCTATCGTGCGCACAGATTACGATGTGATACGGAGAACAAGAAGGAAAAAGGACTAAGACGGGAAATATGAAAACATAGATTTGCTAAATAACGCGTGTCGGGTTCGTGAGCTATGTAAATTTGCTCGACAGAGAAACAAAACTGATTCTGGTACGTTTATCTGTACATTTGGATTGTCTGACTATATATAAGCATACCTCGGTCCATCTCTGGATTGACGCGTCCATATACATACATGTTATGTGGACGCGTTGTAACACGACTGCTATATTTGTGTCTCTATATGAGAGGCAATGTAATGAGGCGCACTCAGTGCATCAAGTCAGGGTCGAATATCCGGTTTAGAAGTTTAGACAAAAAAAAAATTAATGAACCTCTGATAATCCAATTGGGGGAAAATGCCAAACCGCATTTGCGCGATTACAAATACACACTTTGAAATCCCTGAAGTTTTGCTTTACATATTTTCGACTGTAAAAAATGTAACTTCCGTTCATTACTATTCATTATGCTGACAACAACCGCAGAGCTCAAGAAATATTGTAAGCTTAATGATAATGTCGCTTCCCTGATCTTAATAATTAATTAAAGCTAACTTGATGATTGTACTGCGAAACTATAATTGACCATATTCCAAAGAACACATAAGCAATTCGTTATTAGGAAGTACTGTAAGTTGAGAAGTAAGTTGAGCCGACTACAGGCGACCCTTGGTGATAGGCGTCAGCAAATGTACATGAAGTTTTCAGCCTGAGAACGTCAATAAGTTGTATGCACATTTTATACTTACTAGTTACTTTGAATACCGAAATCACACGGCTGCCAATTACAGCTTAGAATTAAGGATCGTCCTAGAAACACAAATCAATGTGCGATACGACCGCATCAGCCAATAGCAATCCGCTTCATTAATATAACTACACAAAATCACTACTTTTCAAAAAAAAAACGTTACTTTAGGTATGGCTATGGGTTGGTACAGCTTGACTTATAAGTCAGCTTTATTGTCTTGTGAGCTGAGTGAAAATACAATGCCTGTGAAAATATGGTCTCCGTGTAGCCGATCGCCATATGGGTACGTAATACAGACGCTGCCAAGCTACAAAGCTCGTGCCTATAGAAAACATCTGGACGACGATTGAAGTAAAAGTCGGGAAGATCACATCTATATAGTGCCATACTGCAATTAACGTTAGGGCAGAGCGTTTCAGCCAGGAGAAAGCAAAGCAGCGGCTAGCAGCGACCTAGAAAGAAGAAGTTTCATACCTATTTAGTCGGAAGCGAGAATGAACTTTACGCCATCTCTGGCAAGTTAAACGACGGATGATACGCAGGATCTTGCATTCGAAGTAAGCGGTGTGTAGCGCTTAAGAGCTCAACCAACCCCAGCAAACAAACAGCTACGCTGGGCAGTTGCTAAGTTAGCTTGCTAAATCGTGATTTTACTTCGGTACCTCTCCATCAGCCTGATAAAACCTTCCTAGAGGCAGTTTGTCCAGCACCCATCCAGCTGAACTATCCCAACTGAAAACGTCAAAGTTTATCCATAATGGTAGTCTTGCATTTCCTTTCTTTTTCATACAATCCATTATTGAACAAATATATTAATTCGAATGAAAAGAAACAATAATGTATCCTATACGCTTACAGCTTGCAGCATAGCAGGTGGCTACTAGAGCAATGCGAGAAGCATACTGACTTTTCACCATCATTATATACATACATATATATATATATATATATATAACATTTTCACTCTCAAGCTCAGAAAGCTCACAGGGATCTGACCGAATTGACAGATAGTAATACATACCGACTAAGGGAGCTCTTCTACGTCTGCACTTTTTCATCTATGTGTGTATATAGCAGTATTAAGGGTATTTATTTCTTACGACATCTGTCGTTTCCTGCTTCGCTTTAGTATCCATGATGACTACCACTGAAAGCATTGCGTCGGCGATGGATTTCGTTGGGCTGGAACAAGTCGCCATGGTAGGGCTTACGTATTGTAGCCTGTGTTCCTGGTCGAATACAGTATATTCGCAAGTTTTTCTGTGACCTCTTTGTTCTTTTTTTTATAGCAGCAATGAAATCTCAGAAAGTTCACGAGACACTTGAGGGAAGTGTCATCATCTTTTAAGGAAACGTCCCGTTCTTGAGACGCTCCTAGCTTACGTTTGCACAACGACTTCATTTCTATACGGAACGTTTCCTGGAAGTGATTCGTTTTTTTTGCTAAATGATGGGTGCCTGTATGTATCCATACCATATAATTAATTAATTTTAAAAAGTAAAAAATGCAATACAATGGATGGTTCCCAAATAGATATGTTGTGTTCAGTTACGTAGATCTGTATGTTATAATTTCAGTTTTGACAATAGCGATGCAATAGGCCTTTCGGCTTGGCCTAGCAAAGGATGCAAATGAAAATCGCCGTTTACTGCTCATTCATAGTTAGGGAGGAAGAATCGTTCTCTCTTAAGAAATTCGTATTCGTTCATGCGTTGTAGCTGTTGCCGAACGAGGTACTTAGTTAACAACTTAGTTAACATTCGAGTTAGTAATGGATGCACAGTTGTCCACGTGATAGCCTATCTTTACCTGCGGATCATATGGTGACCTAGGCTGGAGTCCGGGCAAAGGCTTAGTGCTAGGGACCAGCGAGCTGATACAATGCCAAACGACAATACCGCAGGTAGGACGCGAAAGGTTTAGTTGGATCTATGGCTGGCCAGGGGGTCGTAGCAGTAGCGGATTTGAATTTGGCCAACTAACTCCGCGCATTGCCAAGGCGATGACAGACGACAATTACGGATTGAAAGGGACGCGTGTAAGAAGCGTCAACGGTCGAGAAAGTATCGTGAAGAGAATGGCTCGAAGTGAGAGGGCGCTAGAGTCAAGCTAGATAAATAATAGCGTCTATAAAAAGGTACGACTCGACAAACCAATCGATCCAGCTACCACTGCGGTACGGACAGCGTCTGCAGTGCTCCAGCTGCATAATGAAATGGTGTTGTTATTATTACGTGTACCTTTATAGCACGTGTGTACAGCAAAGTCTATAAATATCCACTGCGCTAGGCTTACAAGGCGCTACGGGCTGCAGATACGTATCACCTGCACTTATTGTAAATTTCTAGAAAAACAAATCGTGCCACTCAGTCTCGTCGTGTATCTAGCCAGCTAACTAGTATTGTGAGATTGTCACATTTTAGTACGTCCATCATACTAAAGCTGAACCATAAATATATATATATATATATATATATATATATGGTATGAAAACAATAGCTAATACTCTAGCTTGTACGATGATATATAAATGGAAGATTAACGTACGTATGACAGTTTGTAGCAGTGGTCGTTCATTGTCGGGTTAGGCTATGAAATCATCAGCAAAAAACGCACGAATATAGCAAATACGACGAGCTCGTTTGTTTGTGTGCATATCAGCTAGTTGTGCTGTGTTTTCTGTTACACCCTGTGCTTCTGCGAGCGTATGTACTGGCCTAGGCGACCTTATTTATGGTCGTTTGTCAGTTGGCGCCAGTCAGGCCAATCACATCGGCGGTCATCACCAGCTACTTTAGAATCGGCTATGCACCTCTTCGAAGCGTCGATACATCATATCGTGTAGTATACACACAAACACTATACATGACAGGGGCAGGTTGATGGGCAGATTTGGCCGCAATAACAATGGTAAGTACATTAAGAATACTAGAGAACAGTAACCGATAATTATCTAAAAACTCATTGACAAAGCTAATATTTCCGAGGCTGAGGCATTGTTATATCTTTGCTAGCTTAAAAGTTAGCTAGATTTATTATAGACAATATCGGGTCGTAGGATAATGGACAGCTGAAGTAGGATTAGGATTCTCATACTGACGACACAGTTGCCATTCATGCGCTTCAACGTATAGAAAATCTTTCGAATAGAACAACAACTGTACCCAAATATGGGTGTGCCTTCTATTTTGCTTAACGTCACTGCTGTTATGGAGTGGCCGAGGAGTTACTGCCGGGCAAGCGATCACATCTGAGAATACGTCCGAACGAGAAACTTGCTAGTGCGGATCCAAATTGATGGGAATTCCGTTTTTCGCGATCGGCTCCGATCATCAAGGCGCGTCGAAGAACCTTTTGAAACACAAATTACGGAAGCCTTTGTCAAATCATATTTTTTATATGTAGCTAGTCGCTCTAGTTATTTTCCCATGCAAAAATTCCTAGTTTGCTCTTTCGACAAAGGAAACAGAAATAATAGTTTTAGATAACAAGAACATCGAAAATGATACAATCACACATCGTTGTGAGGACTGGCGTCGCCCTCAGGGGCCTTCAATGTAGGTGAGAAAGCTTATGCTGAAGCCACCGACACGACGTTGTATATAAATAAGATAAATACTCATCTATTGTTGCAGAATTTTGAAAACGCCTGCCACGCGCCTCGATCGTCTAGGTTCGTGTGTTATCTGATGTGGACGAATGATTTATCTGGTTATCTTTTACACGATCAGGACGACGACAACGATACCAATCATAGTTGTTCATTTTGTTTTCTGCCGCTTTCAGATACATTATGGTAGTTGATGCTGTGGTAACAACCTTTTCTACCCTTACATAAGTCGCTTGCTTTCGATGTTGTTTGACGTGTAGCGTTTCTGTAAATAGTGTGGTCCTTCGTGCCGATAACGAGCTGACTGCGCAACCTTTTGCCAGAAAAACCTGTTCTATTAGGACTTGGACAGGAGAAGAAAAGAGGTGGCCGGGAAGATAGAAATGGGGGTGTCGACTTCTAGCGACACTAGCGGATCGACCTGCGTGACCGATGATCGCCTTCAATGGTAGCGATAATACTGGTAGGGGTAGAAAAAAGACAAACGCATAAAGTGAAATAAAATGGTTGGAAAATAGATCAGGCGCTATCCTATTGAGTATTCGACAAGGTGTAGCTCTGTTTGAGTTGTGCGTGAATCTTAACATTTCGTTAATTTACCCGCCACTATTCTAAGTTTGGAGAATGCTACCAATATCGTTCGTGTGAGTTGAGAAGCTGCTGGTGCCGCCCCTATTTCCGCTACGGTTGCTGGAACCGTGCAGAAACCGGAATAACGGCGATTGAAGACGCCCCTTGTGACAAAAAAGACACGCTTGCATTGAAACATTGTTGACTCGTCCTATGGGCCGGCGGAGGCGGAGGCGGCGGCGGCAGTGGTGGCAAGCGTCAGGGCGCTAGTACAATAACGACGCCGAGGTTTCTTGGTTCCTCTGACTGCTCCTGGGGGCCGATTATGTCATACAGCAGCGATTCAATGAACAGTTGCGTACTGTCGCAATTAGCGGCTTAAGAATTAGGCTCCAACTATGCGTGGACAAATTAACAGAAGCAGTGTGAGAAACGCTATAACTGTAGAAGGTAGTAGCATATACAACTTAGGATAGGACAAATAGCACATGTTGAAGGGCATGCTACATTAGGGATGCGTTCAACACAGACGACGCTAGCAAACGAGCTGCGTCTTGTTCGCCTGTTCCATTGACGTAAATTAGAATAGAGACTTGGAATAGTCGAATCGTTTAATTTAACTAGAGGTTGGAGCAATCTGTATATCCCATTGCACTCTATATAAGAGAAGAGCAAATTGTACATCAGGCAAATCCACACACGTAGGCCGGTCTACAGTATTTATCACTATGGGAACGCCAAGAGTGTACCTGCGATTTGGGGAAAAAACTAGTTATCTTCGCGCGCGAAGTCCTTAATCATATGGAGAAATGCTGCCTTTATACCGTGTAAAAGTGAGGAGCCAGTAGAATCCCACCGATGCACTTATTTCTTCGAATGGCCATAACGTAACCCTATCTACCTTGGCTATATTCTTTGGATATTAGATAATGATTGGCCTGTTTACCACCTCTATACGTTTTACTTCATTGGGTTTGCCAACGGAATAAGGATTGTTGTGTCGTAATACGTCATTATTTAACGATGATCCCGCTGAGAGAAAGAGAAATATATATAATAATGCAATACAGAAGCTACTGAGACGAGGACAAATGGGGGAAACCTGCTAGAGTTGCTACGTAACACAACAGAATTCGTTGCTACAACATTGTTTGCTAGTTACTTAGGCCAAACTAAGTTGAAACGACAGGAAACAATAGTAGTCTATTTACATTAACAACATCACGCGGTCCTAACATAATAATAAATTCGCCAACATATTTTTTTATTTAACAGATTATACAATAAACGATAAAAATGGCAAAGGAGGTACCAATTAATTCATTCGCTGTACATTGTGACTTGTTACGTACTCCGTCCTTTACTAATGTCCGCTAACTCCCCTTAAAACGAATTCCTAGTAGGCCGGCCGGCTGGAGCTGCGGCATAGTTGCGAGGCCTCGCACGAATCCTTTTAGGGTTGACTGGCATCCGTTCTTGCCGACGAGGTAACAGCAATGCAGTACACTTCGCAGCTATCGGCGTACCGACGGCGGCCTAATTTAGGCCTTTGCTGTTCACAGCTCAGAATGGACTCCTTCAGTGTTGTGTTCTACTAGTCTATCTCTTCTCAGTCGACTAAACCTTCTTTCGTTCACCTATTCTCAGTGCTGAGCAATTCAAAAAGAGACTGTACCGCTCACATTGGTAACTATTCAGAAACTGTCTGCTCTTTACCGGGCAGGCAGTGACGATAGCAGACAGAGGACAACTACACAAGAAATAGCAAGAACAATAGTGCTACTGCGTAACTTTTGAAGCAGTGGCGCTCTGTATCGACTGGAGCTTATGTAGCTGTCGAATAACACCAGCACAACATATATTCTTATTTCGGCGATGGAGCAAATAGAAGAAAATAGAAATGTCTCCTTGATGGAAAAAGAGTGCAAGCTAGAATGCTACCGTAACACTTGCGGCTACATGGCCGCTGCTCACACCCACGTAAATATATTATTATGTGAAGAGTAATATATAGTGCACCATCTGTAATAACCTCGTTTGGCCTGATCTGGAAGTGCGATGGCGCTTTCTCGACCTGTCAAAGGCCTGGCCAAAGGCATTGCCCGGTTAAATCGTTCCGAATCAAAGGAGCTTTGCGTACAGCTGCGAGACTAATCGATGACTGAAATCTTCATTGAAAGCTTGTTATTCTAACAGTCGAATCAGAAATCGAACCATCTGCCAGAAATTAGCAGCATTCGTTGAGTGAAG